AACTATTTAAATACAATAATATAATTCATAGTTAAATAAATAATAATATTCTAACTTACTATATTTATAGAGAAAACAAATAATGTATTGACGAAAAAACAAACTAATTAATCAGCCGGTATAGTATGCTTGATATTCTTGTTTTTTTTACATAGGTACACAGGTATGTAACGTTAAAGAAGAATACACACGGAAAGGGAGAAGATAGACAAGGCCTATGTACACTATGAACAACAGAAAACGGGGGCAACGACGGCGACGACGCGCGACGAGTTCCCTTTGAGAAAATACACACGAATAAAGAATAATAAACAATGACCAAAAAATTTGTAAACAATCAACATATAAATCGAACCATTGCGGGCGCAGTTTTCATACGTTCTTTGTGTGTTCGACCGCCATAAGATTGATATTAAACCTTCGAGTAAAAACCGATAAGAATTCAAAATAAAAACAAAAGAAAATGTCTAGAGAATAAACTTATGTAACAGAAATCTTTTTAAAGATACTCAATTTTTAACCATAGATGTCGTTAATTAATAGTCAAATGTAAGATTTAAATCATTAATACGAAGTTTTAATGTTGCAATTAGAATAGAAAATGTGTCTTTAGAAATATAATCTATCGTTTTGATCATTAAAAACAAAATCAAACTAGTAACTCGATCGTAAGATAAACTGTAAAAAAAACAACAACATATAGTACTACACAAATGACGATATATGAAAAGAAAAAATACGCTTGGATTCTTATCTATACAACCTCTCGTATTCCGTACTATACATTTTGATAAATTACTCAATAGTGTATAGTAAGCCTTTTGTTTTTTTCTCTTCTACGTGCCTTAAGTAATACGTCATTCGATTATCGCTATACGAAGACAGTCATGCTGAGTATTCTTACAGTGATAAGAATATAATTTATTTGGACGTTATCTTAATTTTTAGTTTCGAAGTACAAATTTTTATTTTAATTACATATATTATTGTTTTTTTAAAATAAAACTCAAATTGCTAATAGAATTTGTCCTTGATAACTAATAATAAATAATTACCAATATACTTTTATTTCATAAAAGATACTTTAAAATATAAAATAATAGAAATTATTCATACGTATCTAAAAAAATGAAGATTGTGGGTATTTTATTCTCATTAAAACTAAATGGCAGAATTACAGTAAGACAATTATGACATTTTCTTTATATATTGTTAAAAAATGATCGACACTATGTCGTATCTCTCAGAATTTTTCTGATATAAATATAACGATATGAGTTTTAACAAATTCAATCTTTGTGTAAAAGATAGCTCTGGTTTTTTTACATCTAATTAACATATATATAGTATGTATTTGATTCATGTGGACAAGAAAAACTTTATACAATAAGTCAAAAGCAATTTATTATTATAATAATAAAAAAAAGTAGAATAAAATGATAAATATAAAATATTAATTTTTAAGTACTAAAAATGACCTATTCAGGTTTATTCATTTTGAAATCCAAATGTTTTCTATAACCATACATATCATGTTCAATATCTTCCTTTCGAATATTTCGTCTATGAAAAAAAACTTCAGCTATTTCACTCGATAATGGTTCATATTTTGATTGAGCTACTGCTCGTACATAACCATCAACGATATAATATGCAACAAATTTAAATTCACCTTCAAGATCACCATGAATAATAACATTTTCTGGATCACGAGTATATCCAGCATAACGAATTGTTGTCTTATTATTTTGTGTTGTCCAATAGATTGGTGTTGTATAAAAATCAGTTTTTAATGAACGTACACCTGCCTTAGTTTGTCCAAGATAATAACGTAAAATAGTATCCGCTAGACAGAAAAGAAAATGTTAAATTATTTATAGTCACTATCCTAATTATTTTGTATAGAAAGAGTAATACAAGTCAATGAGCTAATGCATTAGATTATAATTTAGATCACAATTCTAGTCATTTCATAGACTTGTACAGCTTCAACGAACAAAAAACGTGACCATTCACTACTATGACATTTTTTCATTTATGATTTTCAGAGTGATGCGACAATTGAGGGTGTCGATAGCTGATGGTAAAAGTGTACGTGTGAATGTGAATTTGTACTCAAATTAGTATTTTAAGAATTCAATCGATAGAATTGAGTATCTGCGTATAACTTTTTAGTCTAAAGAACGATATCTGTAAGTTCTTTCGAACGAATATTAAGTATTATTTTTTACTTCGCGAAAATTTAAACGGAATATTATTATCTTTTTTATTCCCTAGAGAAAACTGCTAGACAGATAAATTATATGGTAAACAAGATTATATATGGCAACATAGTTCCGTCTTCTTATCTGCTATTAATCAAGCTTAATTAATCTTTCATTCTAAAAATACTTCAATAAGCATATCGTCAAGTATTCAAATAACCTGTTAATTCTTTCATTCAATGACTAAATTAATAATAGATTATAAAACTAACATGTATTTTTCATCTATTCTCAATCGGAACAAACTACTTGATAGAATCTATAGAATTTCTTTTCAATTAATAATTATGATTATTTACCAGCTTGATGACCTGTTGAGCAAGCCATTTGCCAATGTTGACAATTAATATCTTCTAAATTAAATACTCTCAATGGATATTTACATATATCACCGACAGCTAAAACATGATCAACCGATGTTTCAAGACGTTCATTTATTTTAACAAAACCATCATCAGTCATTTCAACTGGAGAATTTTCATATAATTCTGTACATAAATCACTACCAATAGCAACAAGAACTAAATCACATGGAACAGATTCACCTGTTCCCAATTCAACGAATTTAACAACATTATGATGACCCTAAATTACAATATAATATATTGTAATCAAAAATATTGTTTTTCTCATAGAAATTTTACTGTTATTTCTGTAACAGTTGCTTGTGGATAAAATTTTGCACCATTACTTTCATGAATTTTTTGTATAGCATGACCAATTCGTTCACCAAAAATACCTAAAAATTATTAAGTAATAAATTTTTTTCGAAAATTCTTGTTTTTTTTTAGCACGTACGAAGCATTGGTACTTTTGATCGCATAACAACTGAAATATTTTTCTTTTCATTTAAACCCGTTGTTAACCATCCACATAGTTCTAATGCAATAAATGAATCACCAATAATAACAATATTATTTATATCTGGTGATTTTACTTTATCTAATTTGCAAAAGAAAAAAAGGAAACAAATTATATAATCATTTTATTTTCTTAATCTATCGGAGAAGAAAAAAACAACTTACTAACAAGTTTATCAGCATCATCGAGTGATCTCATATAAAATATATTTCGAAGATCATGACCTAATAATGACGAAGGTAATTTTCTTGGTCGTAATCCAGTCGCTAATACTAAATAATCGTATGGAGTCGATTTTAATTGATTACCCAATTGTTTATATGTTATATTCTTCGTAATCCAATTAATATTTGTTACTTCTGAATCGCATAATAACTCAATTTTAGTTTTCTTATAATAAGATTGATCACGAAGAAGTAAATCCTGAGGTTTTTTAGATGGTTGTTTCGATAATTGTACCTTGAAAAAATGGATTTATACTCATATCTTTATCATATAAATACTTACACGGTCATAAGGTAACGTTCCTTCTCGTGTCAATAAAACTATACGACCACGAAATCCATTTTGACGAAGCATATCAGCACATGTAAATCCACCTGAAAACGATACAAAGTTCTCATTAGTGTCATAAACCTTCATTTTATTTTAAATGAAGTCATGCTTACCAGCGCCAGCTCCAATAATAGCCACTATTGGTTTTGGTTCAATTTCAAAATCTTCAGGTATTTTTATACGTTCAAGTTTTTCAAGATCTTCCTTTTGTGCTATCAATACAACTTCATCATCAACAATTTCGACCTCATATTCTAATAATAATACATATATAATTTAAAATTTATTAAAGACAAAAAAAATAATTTAAAATATACTTGGTAAATTGCCATGACCTGGATGATCTTCTATATCGCCCGTATCGACACGATAACAAGCACCATGTGCAAAACAACGAAGACGATTATTAATTAACACTCCTAATTAATCAATTTGATCTACATATAAGCGCTAACAAAAAATCTTTATTCAAACCTTTGCTTAATGGTAGTTTATAATGACAACATTTGTTTGCATATGCATAAAATTTATTATCTTGTCTAATAAGTAAAACACTTGTATTGACAGATCCTGTATTAATTTCAAATGCTTTCATCTGTCCATTATGTAATTCATTAACTCTACATAATTGATGACGAATTTGTTCATTTGATACTTGCCATAATTTACCATCGTTCTCATTAGCTGTCAATTTCAGAGTGTTCATTCTGCTTGAAATTATGGAATATGTCTAAAATTTAAAAACTATTTAGACAATAACATGTTAACTGCCTGCGCACGTTTTAAGAAATTGTGAATTTGTATAAGCGGTTAGCTTTTTCTTTTTTCGTTTCATACGTTGGTTGATGTTATTAAAAAAAATAAAAGAATTACCTGTATTTCTTTCTGTATACCGTCTGATTTTTACCTTGTCATTGCTGCAAAGTAATTTTTATAAAAAGCATTTGACAAAACATAATAGAACAAATAGCATACTTTTCTTTTTCTTAATGTTACTAATGCATAGTAAAAGAAACTTGTGAAGAACATCATGTATACATAAGAAGTCAAATATTTTCATTGGTAAGGATGATTTTAGACCACTATTGAGAAAAAAAAATTCTATTCATGACATCTATATAATGAATTAAAAATATATTGAACTTAATAAACAATTTATTAATTAATGATTAAATAGTCTTTGATAAAGACTTGCAATTTGCAAACAAATTACATTCTATTCAAAAGAATATATTTAACCGGAAGGAAATATGGAACTAAATATAAATGCATTCTTTTTTTTTCATATACTACTCATAAAAGATGCAATATTTCACGCTCTATAAATTAGCATTCCATTTCATTGCTATACCTGTTTATTTTCAAAAATTATTCGATAGAAAAGTATAAAGACGTTCAATCACACATAAGAACGATCTGCAATAGATAATTCTCTGGGAGTTTGTGACTAAGGTTTAACACATTTTGATAATCAATAGAAAATCGAGCCAATTTTGTTAGTTGTAATATATCTAATCGTCTGTTCTCTTTTATCTAATCCGATCATATTATTGATGTGTAAATAACTTTGAAAAAAATAAAACTTCTCTTATTCTTATTTCTTATGATGCTGCTAAACATCAGCAGATGTTTTTCTCACATGCTAACACTTATTCGTTTCTTTTTTGTTTCATGTTCGTTTAGTGTGCAATGATAACACATGTAAAAGAATAGATTTGTTATAAACAAAATTATTTCAGATTAGATAAAGATTTTTTATTTGAATTACAAATCGTTAATCAAATATTTGTCTCATAATAAAGAAAATTCTAAGTTTTATGGATACAACATCTCTATACTAGGCAATACTACTGTATATCGAGATATTATCACAGATGTTGCATATATATTATCATTCTCAAGTTACTTTTTATTATTAGCAATTTAAAACATAGAAATTTTGTAAAGTCTATCAATTTCTAAACGAACAATATGTAGATATACATTATTAAAAATTTATTGTTTTCTCATAATTTATTAGTTTTGCTTGACAGCAATTGAATTATTTGTACAAATACAAATTCAGTGCTAATGTGAGAAGTGGCATATCATAAATGACAAGCAGCTGTCCTCCTGTAATAACATGACAATCTCAATTGGCTTGTCGTGTTATTTCACACATTTCTACGTCAGTGCGTGTGTACACATTATCCTGCGGTGTGGTGTGATCACCATTCCTTTTTTTCGCTCGTTCTCTCATCATATCTGTTCAATCCAATATATTTCTTTCTACATGTCGCGCACGCATAGGATATCAATGAACGTCTGTTCAATAAAAAAATCAAACTATCGTATGACTGATCAATGACCTCGGTCATATTTCTTTCCCTCATCTTTCTCTCTTTTTTTCCAAGATCTAGTTCGTCATTTTTCGTCTGTGCAAATCGGACGATTCACATTTTACTAAATAGTTGTTTTTCTCTCTTCTTTCTCTTTATCCGACCGACGAAAAAGAAGAATAATACATGTAAAAGTTCGAAGAAGAATTCAGTCATTCATTATAAATAAACATACATACAGACAGACACACGACATTTTCTTCTTTATATTTACGTAGTACACATTTAATATAAAACTATTATCATGGATGTCAATTGTTGTCCACGTAATGATTTTTCATTTCCAATGAAAAATAGTACAAAAGAATTTGTTTCAACATGGCCAACAGCAACAACCAGCAATGGAGTTACTTCAACAATATCGAGTAAGTTTAAACAATAATATTTTGAAGTAGAACGAATCATAAAGTAAATATCCGAACAAACATAGTGAACTTTTTCTTGAGAAGTAACAAATATAGCGAAAAGGTAAAGTTGCGATGTAGCACAATGATCTAGAAAAAGGTGGAAAAAAATCCAATAATTCTTTGTAGTACACTTCTCGAAACGTTAGTTATCAGAAGTAGCGAATTCTCACTGAGCACTTGGATAAAGTATTTTAAATCAAGAATTTATTTATTTAGATGAAAATATCTTCGATCAAGAACAAAAACCTTTTCAAGATTACATTCTACGTAATACATCGAATATAATGTCACTTGAACAATCATGTGTATTACCATTTCAACAACTTGTTTTAAATGATCTTAATCCTCGAAATTCTTCTTCAGCTATGCGTCCATTTTCATACAATAATGAAGCTTTACCATTCAGTTCAAATCATCAATCTAATATAAATGATGAAAATGCATGTCCACCATGGTTACTTTCGTTAACATCATCGTCATCATCTCAACAACAACAGCAACATCATCAACACCAACAACAACAACAATCGATTTTACCAATACGAGATGATACAACAGAAAATATCCGTCATTGGATTGGAGATTTTTCTACTGAACAATCAACTGATATGAATGGTATACAACAAATTCCATTACTTTCACAAAAAGTATTTATTGGTGGTGTACCACGTTTTGCAACTGAAACTGATATTCATGCTAATTTTGATCGTTTTGGCGTATTTGAAATTCAATGGCCAAAATTACATGGTGCACATAAAGAACAACATCGTGAAAATGGATTCTTTCATATTGTCTTTCATAATGCAAAATCTGTATGTTCATTATTAGATAATTGTTCAAGACAAACAAATAATAATGCATGTGCTGATTATTTTATTCATTTTGAAACCGCAACTGGTTCAAGAAAAACTGTTGAAGTTATTCCATGGAATATTGGAGATAATAATTATGCATTACGGTAGATAATTCATTTTTATTCGAAACATTTTGTTTTATATACTATTTATATTAGGCCACCACAACAACTTGATTCAAAAAAAACCATATTTGTTGGAAATCTTCATGGTACAATGACAGCTAGATATTTATGGCGATTAATGGAAGATTTATTTGGTGGAGCTGTTTATGCCGGAGTTGATATTGATAAATATAAATATCCGTAAGTGATACAAAAATATATTATTTGATTGTTAAAAGAAGACTATCCCTTTCTTTTAGAATTGGCAGTGGTCGAGTTACATTTGATAATAGTTCTAGTTTTCTTCATGCTGTTTCAACAGCTTTCGGTAAGTTAAAAATTGAATGATGAGTATATCTCTAATATCATATGAAGTAAATAAAAGCATCTCTCTATCCATTATGTCTTTCATATAATTTCTGTATCGAATAAATTTTGATTGTTTTAGTTGATGTACGAACACCTCGTTTTTTAAAACGTCTTCAAATCGAACCACATTTACAATATCGATTCTGTTCTTTATGTAAAATATCAGCTGGTGATTTATTTTGTCGAAATTTTGCTTGTTTCGATTATTTTTGTCAACGATGTTGGCAAAAAATTCATATTGGTAATATGTCTTCGCATAAGGCAGTGACACGTCATTCAAAATCATCACAGCCAATCTTTCATCCACCTATGCAAGCACAAACAGTTGGAACTGTTCGAAATGCAAATGGATTTTAAAAGAAAATCAATTGAATATATATATATATTTCTCTACAGATATATATGGATGTTTGTATGTATGTTTCATTTTGAATCTAATTTTTCTAGTCGTCGTCGTACATGTAGATGAATGGCTGTGTGTATGTGTACTCTTCTATTTTATTTTTTTACTTTTTTTTCTCTCGCTCTTTTCCTTACATGTCTTGTATATTGTATTGTAACTATCACTGATATTAGAATCAATTGAGATTTCTCAGTGTATGCAAACTCTTACGCTACTTTTTCTTTCTTTTTTTATTAGACAATTTCTCAAGCGTGTATTAGCCTGTGTCTCTTAGTTATTTTTTTTTGTCTTTGATTTATCTTGAATATGTCATTTAGAAGAAGAAGAAGAAAACAAAAATACTTTTAAATGAACAATGAATACAATTCATTTCCTATGTGACTATTTTATTCCAATATTTTTTTTTTGTTGTTCATATTCACTTTTCTTTTGGTTCTACTTTCTGTCTGTATTCGAAATGATCTGATTATTATTCTTTATTTTTTTTGTTGCTGTTATCTTTATCATTTCTTTCTGCTTATGTTTGTCAGATAATAATTGAAAATAATAAAAAAAATCTATGACAAACGAAACTGATGTTAATCCTTAAAAACAATGTATTAGATATGTGCTTTCGAACTGGAAGAAGAAAAAACTATTCTTAAAGCAATGAATTATGTCATTAGTATTGTGTAACATCGGTTATTTTATTACTTTTCAAAAATTTATTTTCCTAATAAATTATAATGATTATCTAGAAACCATCATTTTACTATTTAACTGTTGATCATTAATATCATCATCATCCTCTTCTTCTTGCATTCCCATTGTAACAATATCGAGATCATCTACCGCAGGATCATCGCGTTTGAATAATGGTGGATTCAAAAAATCTTGTTCATTATATTTAACTTCAGATAAGAATAGACCATTTGGTTTAAGTGTCGTAGGTAATTGACTATCATAATAATCCGGTGGACAATCAAATCGATTAAGAACATCTTGAATTGTCATTTGTCCTTTAGCAATATGTACTAAAGTAGCTGTAATTCGTCGAATTAATTTATAAAGAAATGATTCAGCTTCAAAAACGAGATTATAAACTTTCATTGAAGAATGAAGTGGTGATGATTCTAACAATGGTACTAAACGTTCACCTTCACTTAAACTAAGACGCATTGTTTTTACTGGACAACGACGTTCAAGTATCATACTTAAACGACCTTGAGTAGTTGTGAAAGCAGAAAAATTATGTTGACCCTAATTTAAAAAAATTATATTAACGTTATGATTTATCTTATTGATTTACTTGAAAAACTTCAATTCCTTTTCGAAATGCATCTAGATCATATGGTGGTTCAACATAAGTAATATGATCTTTTTCAAAAAGATTATAAGTAGCTGGTGTTATATCACGAAGAATATATCGATGTTTTTTCTTTAAAAATGAAATATCATTATTAATATTTGTAAATTCCGATTCATTAAGAAAACCTAATCGATAAACATATTTACGACCATAACAATGACGACGAAAATGAAAATTTGGTGATATATAATGAATACGTAAAATACGTATTTGTTCTTTTTTTTCTGTTAAATATATATTTAATGGTTGAACAAGTGTAGTTATATCAGTAGGTGATATCCAGTCAAATGTTGCTGTATTATGTAATGCATGAACACCACGATCAGTACGAGATGACACACCAAAACGAAGTGGATATTTTGTTGATTGAAAATGAAATAATGCACGTTCGATAGCATTTTGTACACAGTCAATTTTAGCACTAGGATTACCTTGAACACCGGCATAAGCTTGACCAGCATATGAAAAATGCATCATAAACCGTGGTAACTTAACATTTGATGAGTACGGCATCTAGAAAAACATATATCAAAGTGATTGACTAATTTTATATGAATACTACATACAAATGTTTTAAAAATCAAGAATCTACGAAGTAGTTCATTTCATATTTAGAGAAAATAATATAGCACTAGTTTAAAGCTATTCGTATAATTTCTTCAGAATGAAATGGTATTATTACAATGGAAATCACGATCAATCAAATAATATCGACTTAGATCAGGATTGAATTTGATCAGTAACTGAGATTACAATATTGAATCTGATTCATCTAGTGGCGGATCTAGGATTTCCGAAGGGAGGGCCGATTCCTGGCTAGATAAGGGCGATACCTGAGTAGGGGGAGGACGATTTCGGCTAAAAACAATTTCTGAGTCCTATCGAAGTAGTGTGAATTTATTTTTTCATTCATTTTTGCTGTAAAAAATCAAAAAAATTTCTGAAGATGGGGCGATCGCCCCCATCGCTCATCCCTAAATCCGCCACTGGATTCATCGTTGTTGATCAATAGCATCACTATAGAAATTCGTGTAGCGTATATTTTTATATTCCTTGTCAATTTAAAATATCGAAGAAAAATATAGATAAATAATTTATAACAACATTTTTATTTTCGTTTTTTTCTACAAAAACACAAAACAATAAAATTTAACAAAATTTATTCATATATTCGATGCTTGTCGATCGTTTTTGTCCGCGTTGTTCTGGTCGTACAGCAATTGCTGAGCCAGATACAAATATTGTTTGATCTTTCTCGCCAACTGGAATATTCATTGAAAATAGACAATCTTTTTTCATAATTGAGCAACGACGATTTTTTGTTTTTTCAACAATCACAAAGATATTTTTTGTTTCTTGAATAACAATTCCTTCTTTACCAATTAATGATTTATTTTTAGCTTGAACAATTCGTATTATACATCCATGATAATCAGCTGTAATAATTCGTTGAAGAATAGATTCATTACTTGTTGTATCTTTTAATAATTCACTTATATATTGTTTCCATAGATGATTCATAAATATATAATTATTATAATCACATTCAACTTGATCTTTACGTAATTGTTGAGCATTATGACGAACTTGTTTTATTGTTTTTGTTAATAATTTATTTCCTTTACGTGATAAATGTTTTCGTTTTTGTCGAGAAAATTGATGAATATTTTTTGAATTTGTACCAATTATTTGTTGTTGATGTCGAAGAGATTCAATTAGAGATGATTGTTTTATTGTATCCGATTGTACAAGAGTATGAACAAGTGATGATATAAAATCATTTCGATCTGTTGTTGATCGAGCAATGCATAGATGAGGTTCAACTAGTTTAGGTGCAGATGAATAGATTGTTGCATGTTGATGATGTAAATCCATATTTATCTGAAATATTGATTTTTAATTAATTACAGAAATAAATATGATAAATTTTTATTAATAAAATCGACAGAAAAAAAAAGAATGAAAAGAAAAGACTTATGCTCATTGCAATGTTTAATCTGGACCAATAACAGATCTAGAATAAAAAGAAGATTAAATGAATAAATAAATTTTCAGAAATAAATGTACTCGATTAAAGTTTGATCGAGACCATCAGCAACCATTTTATGTCGAACACCCTCACGTGGTACACGCTAAAAAGTGAAAATCAGTTATAAGAATGACATTAGTAGAGTATTATCATACCATAGCCAACATTTTTTTGTATTTTGTCGTTCGAGGGTCTTCTACTACTTCAGGTTCAGGTGGAGGAGGTGGCGGTGGGGGTGGCGGCGGTGGACCTCCAGAAGATGGAGGAGGTGGTGGTGGTACTCCCGCTGGTAGTGGTGGAGCAGGAGGAGGAGGTGGACCAGAAGTAATACTAGTATTTGCTGATGATACAGTTTGTTCAGTAGTAGTAGTTGCCGATGTTACTGGAGTTAAAACATCTGCAAGATCAAGTGCTTGATAGCCTGGAGTTGAACGAAGCTAGAAAAGAGAAATAAGAGTAAATCTTTGGAAAAAGAGTTTTTTCGACAAATGTATATAACGAATGTTTTTAGTTCTCCAGTCAAGATCAATCATATCTTGACTAAGTCTTTTAACTACAGTTCAAAGTGTTATATCTGTAATCAGACTATGTAACTATAAGTATTTTATACTGGCGGAACTCAAAAAACAAGAACTTTTTCTCAGAAACATAAATCAATAAAAAATCTTTACTTTAGAATCAAGAATTGCGAAATCAGCATCAATACGTTGTAAACTAGTTTCAAGTTTTTGAAATTTATTTTCAATTTGTGCACTGAATGTATTAAAAAAATGAACTGTGTTTAGTAGAAATTGATTTATATGTTCAGTTTGACGTCGTTGATTAATTGGATCAAGCTAAAACATATATATATATAAAGAAAGATAATGAATATGCATAAATATTATTCTACTTTTGTATAATCAAGTGCCGTATTGACTATAACTTGATCATCATCCACATCAGAATCCATCTGAAACTTATTTAATATCAAATAGAGAAGAAAAAAACGATTTCAAAAGATCAAAACAAATATATATATATATAGATTATCATTAAATACATAGTGTAGAAAATATTTTACTAACTGTAGGAATAATATAAAAACCTGTAAGAAAACCAGAAACTAGAAGAAAAAAAATGAAAAATAAAAATCTCGTTGTTGTAATAAGAATTTTTTTTATACCAAAGAAAAAAATATTTTTATTCGATATAAATGAATAGATATTATACAATAAGGAAGTTTGTGATTTTTTCATCATATTTAAACGTAAAATTAATTCTTGTTCTTGATTATGTAATTTAATAATATCATTTTTAAGATTCTCAGCAATTTGAAGTAATTGTGTTAATTCCATTTGTTGTTGTAATATAATTGTATCAAGAATATTTTCTTGTTGATCGGAATAATTCTTATTAAGATTATTTTCATTCTCAAGTTGCTAAAATCAAAGTAATATTTATAGATCGAGAAAACAATGTTCAGTTTTGAATTCTACGAGCGAGAAGACTCATTGTAAAATTTATTACTAATTCTTTATTCTATTCTTGTATGAATTAGATTGACATACTTGCTTTGTTGGACGACACATATTAATTCTTTTTCTTTACTATCAAAATCTAGAAGTATAAGATTTTCTTTCGTTGCTGCTGATAACAAACTATCTTCTGGTTAACAAAGAGAAAGTAAATAAAAACATTGCATTTCTTTTTTCTTTTTTGTTTTATTACAAGAATATTAATACGCATATGACCTTTTTTTTTGTCTCTTGTGATGATAGTTTCTTTTTTTCAATAGATGATTTATAAATGAAAAGAAAAAAAGAACATATTTCCACTTGTTAGAATCATTATTCATTTTCTGTTGGAATCCGAAGAAAAGAAAATAAACATATATATCACCGGCAATTGAAAAAATAAAGAAAAAATTTCATGTCCGAAAAAATGTAATTACTTTTTCGCTCACGATGACAAGATAATAAGAAAGAAGAAGAAGAAAAAAAGAAAAAAAAAAGAAGTTTTTCAAGCTTAAAAAAAATATGTATGTCCAATGAATTTTGTTTTTTTTCTTCCATCATTCGATTCTGTGTTTAAAATTGAAATTGACCTGGTTGTTGACTATTTGGATTTACTTGTCCGTTCATAGGAGGTACAGGATTATTTGTTGTAGTACCAAATTCAAATGGACGTGATTCTGCTTGCTAAAAGACAAAAAAAAACAAATTAGAAAAATAAATTTTATTGACATTTTTTACTGCTGGGAGATTTTCATCTTCATCAACACCAAAATATGTTTCAATAAGATGAAAAGCTTTTTGATAGATATCAATGTTTTCATGACTTTGTAAATATTCAATTTTATCTAATCCATAACATTCTTCGATCATGATTGTATATGGATTTGGTCCATTTGTACGTTTACTTTCAGCTGCACCTAATTTAAGAATATTATCAAGACCATTTAAAGCAACTTGAATTATTTTAGCATCAGAAACACTTAATAATTCACATAATGGTGAAATTACTCCTTGATCAACAATATATCTAATATCGAAGAAGAAAATATATTTTTCGGTAAATACAAAATAGAATTTTTACTTTATTTGTTGTGGTGTACCACCTGATGTGGCATTTGTAACAGCCCAAGCAGCTTCTTTTCGTGTTTTATGATCACCATGTTTAAGAATGTTAAGTAATGATGGGATTATATTTACATCAATAACTGCCTATAAGTATTAATTTAGTTCCTAAATACTTTCGAAAAAATCTATGTATTCTTACTTGAATTTGTGCTTGAACACCAGCTGTTATATTTGATAATGTCCAACATGCTTCCTTTTTAATTGATTCTTTTTGACTTTGTAATAATGTTAAAAGATGTGGAAGAACACCAGCATCAAGAACGGCCTATTAAAAAATTCTCTCGTTTTCTTTCTTTGTCATAGATAAAAAAAACTATATAATAACCTGTGTTTGATGATCATCACCAGTAACAATATTACCTACAGCACGTAAAGCAGACGATTGAACATTTAAAACCGGATGTCTAATAAGCAAAAAAATAGATAAGAAAATTTTTATTTTGAAATAAAAATCATTTACGCTAAAAGTTCAACAAGTCGTCTGGTATCAACAACATGAATAACAGCCTGAATTTTTTCATTAGGTCCATCAGATAAATATGAAATAGCCCAACAAGTATCAGCCAAAACATCTGCATCAAGATTATGAAGAAGTTGATTGAGTACTGGTAATGCTGGAGCAACCTGAATAGAATAATTCAAATCGTTATGCCTTTTTTATTGTTAAATAAATAGTCACTTTATTAAAATCGACGGTTGGATTTTTACCACGACACAAGTTCGATAAACACCATACAGCATTACGTATTATTGTTAAGCGTGTATGACGTGAGAAAATACTAGAAAAAATACGATATTAGATTAATAACATATATATTTTTTTTGATTTACTTTATTAATGGTTGAAGTACACCCGCATCAAGAACATAATCACGACATTCCGGACTATCCCCAGCAATATTACCAAGAGCCCAAACAGCCTATAATTACATTTTTGTTTAGAATAAAAAATCGATGATAATAATTAAAAGTTAGATTTACTTGTTCTTGAACATCTTCATTGGTACTACTTAATAATTGAACAAAAACGGGTACAGCACCTGCATCAATAACATATTTTGTTTGACTTGAATTGCCTGATGCAATATTTGTTAAAGCCCAAGCTGCTTCAAACTAGATTAAAATAAAATATAGGATATTTCGATTGTATTTCTTGGGAACATACTTGAATTTGAAAATGTTGAAAACTTAATAATTGAACAAAACGAGGAACTATGCCTGCTGTTATAACCTCATCAATAGGTGGATTTGGTTCTAGATAAGCAGAAAGATTCGATTATATTTTATTTATAATAATAATAATAATCAAACCTTTAGAAAGTAATTTTCGAAAGCGAACAGTTGCCTCAAGTATTTGTTGCACATCTTCACCATATAAAGCAGCTGCCATTTGACTTGTAATAACCTGAAATAATAGCTCAACATTAGTTATTTCTGCTGAAAAAGGAAGACGATATTTCTCACTGATTCAGTTGGTCCTGTCGTTGGAGCAATGGCACTATTTGTATCGAATGATGTTGGTGTCTCTTGTTCACTGGTACTAGCTAAATTTCGTCGTTTGAAATGCTAAAGATAAAATCTAATATGGAACAAGTCAATAAAGAATCTTTTCTAACCTGTTCTTCACGTTTTTGTTTACGTAATGTAATATTAAGATCTTCACGTCGTTTACGTAGTTCTTCACTATCAAGTCCTGTATTCTTATAATTCTTTTTACGTGAATCGCTTGACATTTTTCTTTTTTCTTTTTAAATAGAATAAATGAGTGTGTTATTATCTGAAATATATATACGAGAATATCAACAATTTGTTTTGATACTATGAAATACAAAACATCAAATAAGAATTTATTAAATCAAACTTTTAATCCTTTTTCTTTCTGTTGTTTAATCGAAAGATATTTTGGAGGTGGTGTCCATATTGATTCTCCTGTTGTATCATTCCAATAGAAAGATTCTTGATTATCCGTTTTCGATTCATACCAAATACCTTCTTGATCTGTATGATTTGTTGTTATCACTTCTTCTTCTTCCTCTTCTAGATTTTTAATCTGTTCTGCTAGATCTCTAATTTGTTCTTCATGATTATTATTGTCTTCTAAATTCTTAATCTGTTCTGCTAAGTCTTTAATTTGTTCTTCATGAAACTTCGTTTCATTATCATTGTCTTCTTGAGTTCTAGGTTGTTGTTGTTGTTCTTCTTCTTCTTCATGTTTTGTTTCAGGTTCTAAAGGTGTAGTAAGAGGTTCATAAACAATTTTAGGTGTTGGAGTTTTAATAACAAATTTTGCTTTTTTACATTGTACTTGAACAGCTTGATTTGCAGGTCGTTTAAGTTTCGACGGAAGATTTGAATCGGATGATGTTGGACTATTATTTGATTGAATCATTGAATTCGATGCCATATCACGACGAAATGATTCATTAGCAGCACGTTCCATTTTACCAAGTGTATTACTAAGTTGTTTTTCTTGACGTTCTTTTTCTATATTTGCTTTACGTAGTGTTTCAAGTTTAGCTTTAACCATACTCTTATGATGATTGCCACTTTCATGTAAATCAATACTAATTTTATTTCCAGCTAACCAACATTTACAAAATGTACAAAAATGTCTTTCACCTGATTTCCAGAATTCCGTCATTGTTATTAATTTATAAATGAGACAAATGTATAAATTGAGTAGGAACGTAAAATAATGATGTGAATGACGTAAGAACAAATAAGAATAAAGAGACAAATCAGCGACTGCGATGGTTATGATCAAGTCGGGCGGCCTTTAAATTTCATTCTATATCTTTCATTCTTCAGGATTGGGTTGGTCAAGACCATCAATGGAGAGGACTTGAGGAAAATCGATGAATCGATAACTGAACAACCTTTCAAGAGAAAGTATTTATGCAATATAAAACAAAAGAAAATAGATCTTTACTATAAATATATTCTACGAACATTTTAGATGGAATATTTTGTTGACAATATAATAATTACTTGTTTATTTCTTTAAGTTAAAAATTCTCTAAAATCACGTGTAATATAGATGGCGTATGCTATCAGTCAAATATGAATATACTATCTACTGTTGATTGTGTATCATTTAGTTTTACCTCAGCCGAATTTATAGTTTCGCAGAAAGTTTATTTAAAGATGAATCATTGAAATTTCAATATACATATATTCACTTATTGAAGGGAAAAAACCAAAATGGCTTTAGCCCCTAATATTTCAATCGAAACTGAAAGTTGATTATTGTTGTGTTGATATTATATCGAATTTCAGTCAATGATATAAATAGGTAAAATATATATTATGCTAGAAATATTCATACAGACAGTTTTTCGATGTATACAAATTACATAATGATTTCTTAAAATAATAAATAACAACTATTTCAATACATCATGCGTTTTCAATGATTCATAAACTTTCAGTGTAAGTTAATCATTTGCGAAAATGTAATAAAAGTTCAAAAACCATAGAAACAAACTTATATCAACCAGATACAATGACGAAGAGTACAAGAATTAATATAGCAGAACATTTTAGGTACTACTAGACAAACTGAACTGAGTTAAATGTTCGCACAATCAAAAACCTCGAATAACTCTTTATTAAATAAAATTCATCATACGTATAGCACTTATAATAAAGAAAACTTGTGTAAAATTCATTCTAATGCAGTCTATGTCAAATTGATTCAGTTCAAACGGAGAATATATAGTTCCCGATGAACTTTTACATTGACATATAGCGCTCTCTATACTTAAATATCACAATATTAACATAATGTGCATAGAAAAACATCTTTTCATCTGAATAATTCAAAGATTTTTCATTTAAATTCATAAAAAAATATTAATTTTAACAACCATTTCTACCGTTTCTATGGTAATCAATACTTGACAATATGGAAATAACAAAGAACTGAACAATCACGAGTAAAGAACGACGAGAAAAGATACATGATTACAGAATCAAAAAATCAATTACTCACTCATTGCTTAATAACTTCTCTTACTCTCGCTCTATTTTAATCAATCATCATGTAGAATATTCTCGTCCATTTTTTCAGTTTTAATCTTATAATGCAAGTTGCACAGCATCGAGCAGTGCCTATACGGCAAGAACAAACAACAATTCATTGGCCAACAGAAGCAATGTCTCCAAGATCAACAACAACTGTACCAAATCGAATTTATCAACCATTAAATTTTTCTATAGATGATCGTTTATCCGAACAACATCTAACACGTCTTGATTTATGTTCAAAAAATTTAAAAAAGATTGAAAAATTACAAAATAATATTAGTTTTAATGTTGTTTTACTTGATCATAATGATATATCAAAAGTTGAACATCTAGATGTTCTCACACATCTTATTCAAGTAAAAGATCTCCATTAATTTTCATATAAATATATTTCTAATTCTAGTTATCAATTTCACATAATCGATTAATTGATATTCGTTTAATCAGTCGTCTAAAAACATTACAAAAATTAAATCTATCTCATAATTCTCTTGATTCAATTGATTGTAAGAAACTTTTCTTTATCTCATAAATCAAATATTTGTTTCTCTCAGGTCTAAGAACGCTACAAAATCTTGTTATGCTTAATATAGCTGGCAATAATATTCAGAATATCAATGCTTTAAATGCTTGTCATTCATTACAATCATTAGATGCTAGTGATAATGCTATTCGACAAATAGAAGATCTTACACATATAACATCTCTTAAAGTAAGAAACATATCATATTCTAACTCGATCGTTTAAGATTTTATTTAGTATTTAAATCTGCATAAAAATCTTATCGATACATTATCATCAGCACCTCGATATTGGCCAAAATCACTTCATACAATTGTTATATCCGACAACGAAATAAAAGATTTAACTGAAGTAATATATTTTGTTTAATTCAATATAAAAAATTTCCCGTTTCTTATTAGATTTATCATCTAACATCGTTCATCGATTTAAATGCATTATATATTCATGATAATCCATGTTTATTTGTAATTAATGATCGACATGGTTATCATCAACCATTTGATTATCGTCCATATATACTTAATTGGTGTTTATCAGTTCAGAATTTAGATGGAACTTTTATAACAAGAAAAGAAAGGTTTATATAAAAACAAAACTAAATTTATTCTTATCTTAGAATTATTTATTTAGTTTAAAAGCTGAATGGTTATTAAGTCAAGGTAAAGGACGATCATTTCGACCTGGAGATCATTATGAACTTATTCAATATTTAATTAAAGTTTGTGGAACAGATGCTGATGAAGTAAAATATTTCATTTCAAACCTTTTTTTTATAATCTGTTAATTGTTTTTAAAAGAGAGACGATCTTCATCTATCACGTATTATGTTTCAACAAGATTTGTATAGACATCATAGTGATGCAGAAGAAACTTCAATGAAAACATCAGATACAATGAAAGATGCAAATGAAACACTATCGAAAGGTTTAAGCAAAAATTTAAATTTATTAAATTTAATATTCCTAATAATTTTTAGATCAACAAACAAAATTACAACAAAGTTTACTTATATCTGAATCTGAATTTCTTAAAGTGAGTCCAGCATCATCTGTTTCAACAATAAATGAACCGATAACAATATCTGAACATCGTAAAAATTCTATTCCAAATTCGGAATCACAATTACGAACACCAAGTCCAAGATATATTCGTTCCATTAGTCATAATGATGAACAAATAAGTGACTATAGTGCACATAATCGTTATAGTGATTATGATAATCGACCTATCAAACCACTCGATAAAAATATGCTTCAATCAAAATTAAATCAATATCCAATAGAGAATCAGCCTCATGATGATACGAGTGTTTCTCGAACACGAGCCACTACCAATCCTCAACAACCTAAACGAACATCAACTCATTTAGCTTATAATGCTAATAGATATTCACCGAAAACAACAGCTCGTGGACCAGTTGTATCAACAGCAATGCAAGTTCATATGCGTCCAAATACGAATAAAAATCTTTCCACACGTAATTATTAAAATTTAATGACGTACCAAAAAAAAGAATCTAACGAATATTTTTAGAACAACAAGATCGAAAAAAACGTCATACAATAGCTGCTGATACATTTCATTTAGGAAATCATATACAACGTAAAGCATCACCAGTTAAAGCTAGACATGAGCAACGAATTATTTCAAATGAAAATAAAAATAGTAAATATAGATAAAAATATAAAAAAACCATATTTTCAATTTTAATATTTATAGTAACAGATGATGACGATGATGAATTGCAATTAAAATCAGCTCCTGTTAATGCATTACTATCAACACAAAATACAACAGCTAATCGAGAAAATACAAATGATTTAAGAAAATTAACTACATCAATTGAAACAGTAAGAACATCAGTTCTTCAAGCGTAAGTTTAATAAAAAAATATTCTGAATTTTATAGTTTTAATTTATTATTAAAATAGATATCTTAATTTACATGAACGATTTACAAAAACAACAGAATTACAAACATCTGCATTAACTACACTTTGGAAAAAGGTAATAAGAAACTTTGAAATTAAGATACATACATAGAAATTCGATTTTGTTTTAGTTTGAAAGTCAAAATATAACGCATCAACGTGAAACTGAAAAATTACTTGAAGAAAATCGTTTACTCAATCAACGCTTACGTGATCTTGAATCACGTTTAAATATAAAATCGAATATATTACATCCTCCACTTCGTG